TGCAGCCACTCCAATACGATTTACGATCTTCAGCTGCAAAAGACAATAGTATTACGCATGCAGCCGCGGCACCGAGCAACCTTGACGCAGCCATTACAATGCGTTTCACAGCATCCCGTAGCAAACCTGCACCTATCTACGCACGTGGCAACATCAAATCACGACAATGAAGCAGCCATTCCAATGCAATCTGCAACCAGAGATTCAGAGAACCGCATGGAACTACGCACACAGACACAACCACTCGTTGCAACACACATAGGAGGAACAATTCGCGCACAAAACGACCGCAGCCGCACCCGTCGCCCAGACGAGGTACCTTTCATCGTCGGCTGCAGCCACTTTACACGGAAAAACGCACGGTTTCGTGCTCCGGCTTCCTCCCCAAAACATAGCCCATGCAACATTCATGCAGCCATTACAATGCGTTTCGCAGCATCCCGTGGCAAACCCGCACCTATCTACGAACGTGGCAACATCAAATGACGACAATGAAGCAGCCATTCCAATGCAATCTGCAACCAGAGATTCAAGAACCGCATAGAACTACGCACACAGACACAACCACTCGTTGCAAAACACATAGGAGGAACAATTCGCGCACAAAACGACCGCAGCCGCACCCGTCGCACAGACGAGGTACCTTTCATCGTCGGCTGCAGCCACTTTACACGGAAAAATACAAGGTTTGGTGCTCCGGCTTCCTCCCCAAAACATAGCTCATGCAACATTCATGCAGCCATTACATTGCGTTTCGCAGCATCCCGTGGCAAACCTGCACCTATCTACGCACGTGGCAACATCAAATGACGACAATGAAGCAGCCATTCCAATGCAATCTGCAACCAGAGATTCAAGAACCGCATAGAACTACGCACACAGACACAACCACTCGTTGCAAAACACATACGCCGCATTCAAAGTAGATGGCTCCGCCCTCTTCCAAAGTGCGCGTATAGATGGCGCCGACTTTTTGAATTTTGACACCCGAAAAGGGCGTGACATCCATCCCCCTTACTTTTGTGGGCCGCGCCATCTATGCCAGAATGTGTTGCCAATGTGTTTCAGGGTTGCGCCATCTATGCAGGGGGCAAAGGGAAAGGAGAAAGGAGAAAGGGAAAGGAAAAGGAGAAAGGGGGCAGGGAAGGGGAAAGGGAAAGGGGAAGGGGAAAGAAGAAAGGGAAAGGGACAGTGAAAGGAGGAGGGACAGGAGAAAGGAGAAAGGGAAAGGAACATGGAACTGGATTTTTCTTCGGGAAACCATAACTGTGGATTGCGCCATCTATAGGTTACCACTGTTTGTAAAGGGAAAGGGAAAGGAGGAGGGAAAAAGGAGAAAAATACAGGGAAAGGGAAAGGAGAAAGGAAGAGGGAGAAGGGAATGAGAAAGGGAATGGGGAAAGGAGAAAGGGGAAATGGGAAAAGGAGAAAGGGAAAGGGGGAAGGGAAAGCATAAGGGGAAAGGAGAAAGGGGAAGGGACAGTGAGGGGAGGAGAGAAAGGAGAAAGGGAAAGGGACAGGCAACAGATTTTTTTTGGGGGGAAACAATAACTGTGGATTGCGCCATCTATAGGTTACCACTGCGTTCCATTTGTAAAGGGACAAATATGCAATTGGATGGCACTGTCCCAGGTGGTTGCGCCATCTATTTAGAAACTTAGTAGTGAAAAAATCCTTTCCCCGAAAAACTTTTGTTGAACACACACACACACCCCTTACTTTTTCAACGTTTTGATGACCGAAATGTCCAGTCCCGGAAGAAGGGATTTAAATTAAAAATGGGGTAGATGGCGCAATTTGGCCCATTTTGCACATGTAGGGTTGCGCCATCTTCAGGCACATTTGCTGTTTCGGGTACATATCGGATAGAATTTGTTCACTACTAAATAGATGGCGCAACCACCTCTGAGAAAGTAGGTCAGAGCCATGCACTTTGAATGGGGAGTAGGAGGAACAATTCGCGCACAAAACGACCGCAGCCGCACCCGTCGCACAGACGAGGTACCTTTCATCGTCGGCTGCAGCCACTTTACACGGAAAAACACAAGGTTTGGTGCTCAGGCTTCCTCCCCAACTCACCACTTCCCTTCGTCACCACTCCCCTTCATCATCACTTCCCTTCCTCACCACTTCCCTTCGTCACCACTTCCCTTCCTTCTCCACCACTTCCCTTCCTCACCACTTCCCTTCGTCACCACTCCCCACCACTTCCCTTCTTCACCACTTCCCTTCGTCACCACCTCCCTTCTCCACCACTTCCCTTCTTCACCACTTCCCTTCGTCACCACTCCCCTTCATCATCACTTCCCTTCTTCACCACTTCCCTTCTTCACCACTTCCCTTCGTCACCACTCCCCTTCATCATCACTTCCCTTCGTCACCACTTCCCTTCATCATCACTTCCCTTCTTCACCACTTCCCTTCCTCACCACTTCCCTTCGTCACCACTCCCCTTCATCATCACTTCCCTTCTTCACCACTTCCCTTCGTCACCACTCCCCTTCATCATCACTTCCCTTCTTCACCCACCCTGTGTCATAGCTTCTTATTCTTTTGTTATGTATTGCTATGTGATCTACCACCCTTCATCAAGGTCAACTGCATAGCTTCTTATTCTTTTGTTATGTAGTGTTACATTATGTATTGTTATGTGATCTACCACCCTTCATCAAGGTCAACTGCATAGCTTCTTATTCTTTTGTTATATATTGTTAGATGACATACCACCCTTCATCATTTCAAGTCTCAGAATTCTATTTGTCCGTAACTCGGAAGTATTGCTTCCCAACTTCCTTTGATAATGTATCTAAAGGATTGTTTATGCTGAAGAAGCAAAAAAGCCAGGAACGCAGAGAAGCAGAACAGCAAAGAAGCAGAAATCAGAGAAGCAATTAAGCAGGGAAAGCAGAGAAGCAATTAAGCAGGGAAAGCAGAGAAGCAAAGAAGCAGGGAAGAGCAGAGAAGCAAGAAGCAGAGAAGCAGAAAAGCAGAAATCTTGGAGAAGCAGACAAGCAAAGCAGCAGGGAAACAGAAATCCAAGAAAAACCCAAAACGGAAAAATAATTCCTAAAATGAAAAATCCTCCTCCCTACTGTCTTCACTTCCTTACTGTCTTTGGTTTCAGTTTCGGAAATTCCTTGGCCCCAAGATACGCCAAGAGTCTTTTGACCCTTAGACTTCTAAGGGAGGAACTTTCATGCAGGTTGCTCAAGTGTCCCAGCAGGTTGCCTCACAGTAGAACCTATCATGATCTATCCGTTCTTGGTGTCAAGGTGCTGCGGATTCACATTCTTCCTTTATAACACACAAAAAGAAGAGGGCTGTCACAAAGTCAGATGGCACATTGCTCATGGTCAGCTGTGACTTTGGCTTGCCACTACCGAAATGGGATACGTAGCATGGTCAGCGCTGGACCAAAATGTGGGCTAAAGTGAACCTCAAGGGTCCCAAGGGAAACAAGGAAAGCGGGTTGGTTCGGGATTCCAAAGATTCCCGGAAACATGAAGGTGTCAAAAGGAAAGGAATGAATGGTTGCAATTGTGCGTGCAATATAGTGTTCAATGTCTGTCTGTCTATCTGTCTGTCTTTCTGTCTCTCTGTCTGTCCGTCCGTCCATCTGTCTGTCTGTCTGTCTGTCTGTCTTTTATCTTATCTGTTATTTTCTTATTTATCTTCTCCTCTCTTATCTGCAATGGGCGACAGCGGAGGACTTTCAGTGGAGGATGAGATGATCAAGCGCATGGCCATGGCGATCAGCCAGTATACTACCCTACAGCTGCTCACAGAGGATGTGACGGCAGCTCTGCAGCGAGCGCATCAACGAGCTCGAGTGACACCGATTGTGCCTGTACCGATGCTCCACTCGCTTGAACAAATCAAGTCAGAGACAGAGAAATTGCAGCAAAGGGTGCAAACCCACCAGGAAGACCTGGCACGAGAAGTGACGACCTCGCAAAAAGCCTTCCTCTTTCTCACTCGAGAACAACGACACCATTGTTCTACCACCGCTCTATGTGAAACTCACTCGGCGAATAGGAAGTAGGAAGATCTCCCAGCAACTTGCTCTGAGGCGAAAGGAACACCCTGTCAACCCAACTATTGCAAAAGAGTGCGCCAATAGAGTGAGGATGTTGACTGCTGGAAAAAGCAGCTGGCGGTGCCTTTTCCCACCTAACATGTAAGGACCCCCTGACAATTAAGACAGAGAACACAAGGAAGGGGCAGCTGAATAGTAGGCATCACTACATCCTTTGAATTGAAAAAATGCTTTTCGGGTCCGATTATCCAAGAACACAGGTTTTGGTTCCCTCAATCCTACACCGCCTTCTTGTCCCTGGATTGGTCAAGTCGGACGGAATATGAACTGGGCTATTAGGGTTTCTGGACTGAGCAGGTACCTGTCAGTAGGATGTGAATTTTCATCCTGCCCATACCGCTGGTAATCAGAGTCTTAACTACCGACACAGGTAATCAGAACTTAACTTTCCACCATACCTCGTTGCTTTCTTTTCCCTGGATTGGTCAAGTTAGCAACGATGGTAACACGGGAGGACAACGAACACCCCCCTACCTGCTGGTATTGGCTCGAGCTTTCCTGTTTAATATTAGGCTACCTCTGAGGGAACCTCAGACCAAGCTGATCGCTGCCATAACGATTCACACTCTGAGCATGGACCATAATCACTGGTTTGGCTACCAGAGGCATCTGGTCACCAATCACCCATTTGCCCGGATCTATCATCATCAGGGATCCGATCCGATGCACAGGCTCTGCAGTGGTGTCAAGATAGGCAGTCATCCCTTCCAGTTTCTGGAAGCGCATATCTGGGTCTGCAATGAGAAGTGGAACATAGTGTGGGTGGAAGATGAAACCTGGATGCCCCAGGATTCAACAATCACTATGACTGGATCACTGCCTCATGGCTTCCAGAAAGTACACGCCAGTGACTCCCAAGATGCCTACCTCAACGTATGGCTCAGACGGCACGGAAGGGACTTTTATCCGTTTGCAGCGGAACTACGTCATCAGGGATATGCCTGTTGGGCCAACTCCCAGCGATTTGCAATTTGTGCACAGAGAGTCCGCAACAATGCGCCCTCTTAGCAGAATTAATGCACGCTTACAACGTGCTAGCCAATCGCACTGAAGTTTATGCAGGTGGCGAAGGAATCATCACCCTGTCAGAGCCCAACCGCATGAACTCAGCAGTCGGAGAGGATGAGAGCCGCGGTTATGAATTCCACGATTCCCAAACGTGCCGTGATGCTATTGAAGGTAGATTCACAAGTGCAAATACGACGGCATCACGTTTCCTTCTCCTGCATGAAACGGTTGTGACAATGCAACGCAGGCACAACGACCTGATCCATGAAGCCAACCAAGTCTTACACCGAGTGCAGCAAAGCTGGCACAGCCTAGCTGAAGCGTACGACGCCTGACAGAGCGTAACAATGGAGCACTCCCCAGTGGCTAAGCGAACTGGCCAATTCATGCAAGACCAACCAAAGAGTCGGTCTCTGTATCTGGTTAGTGACTGTTAGTGTGGCCATGGTCAGTGTTTCACGTGGGTCCCTGGATTGGTCCTGCGTGTGCATTTGAGACAGACCCCCAGTTTGTTTGTGGCAGCTGAAAGATGAAACACCAAGTGTGTGCCTTTTGCTACGAATTCTTCTCTCTCCATTTTCATTGGCAAGTAGTAACACAAGATGCTGTTGAACACATGACACAGTTTCAGGTAAAATTACAGGGTCCGTGATGGTCCGTGTAAAGTTGTACAGTCTATACATAAAACATTGATCTACAACTATGTGATACCAGGACACATGTCAGTCCATGTGTTGCAGTACACGCACATCCGTCCCCTGTTCGGTCCACATGGTGACATCGCAGGCAACTTGTGGCAACTTGTAAGTTTCCCAGTTTCAGATGAAAACAGGCCTGCGCAAAAACCCGTATTGTCCAGGCAGGCGATGATGTAGTGCCAAATTCCATGGATCCGTAGAGATCCAACGCTCCCGAGCGCTCCCGAGAAGAAGACATTGGTGTGCCATTGACCGTCATGTCCTGCCAAAAAGGTCGAATTGGACAAGATGCACAAGATATTCTGGATGTAAAACACACCTGAAAATTCACATTTCAGATGATTTGTCTTCTCGCATTGTCAAAGTTCAAACTACATCCGGCTGAGTTTACGCACTGGCATCTGTTCGCATCAATGGGGTTAGTGACTTGATGTGACTTGTCATCAGGATGAACACATGGGGCCAACGGGCCAACCTAAACAGACTCGACATCCACCAGCATCAAAGGGGGATAACTCGCGACCAAAAGGCTGGATGTTCTCAACATGAGGCAAGGACAAACAAAACCTGCAGTTCACTTTGGAAACGAAAAATCTATAGGAGGACCCTCAGTAGGTCCGAAATCCTCCTGTGATGATGGGGACTTTCCACCGAAACGTGTCTAGAACAGGGCTATAGTGGATAGTGGTCCTCAACTCTCATCTAGGTGATGTGTCCATAACCCACATTAGATTGATGGCCAAAATCCCCACCATATCTATACAAGTGGCACATCCTGGAGGTTGTGAGTATCCAAAATTTTTTTGGTTAATCGTCATGTTCTCCTGTTTTAGATGGCAATAAGTGGGAATTACTTGGCGAATCCCCCATATTCAGAGCCACATTTCACCACAGATACCTTCGGGCCATGGCCGTTGGACCCCCAGTTCCCCGACACCTTCTGAGCCAAGGCTTGCAGCGTCCGCATGATGCCACCTCCTTTGGAGAAGCTGCCACCTGTGTAGACTGCCTCGCCAGGTTTTGTTGGGAAAATCCTAACCGGAAACCATGGTTTTTACCATCAAATATAGGGTTTTCTTGCAAATTTTCCCGTAAACCCAAGTAAATAAATAAATATATATATATATACACCATGAAACAGAGGGGGTTCCTGCAAATTTTCCCTCGAACCAATCCAATGTTCGATGGAAAAAAAAGATAGTGATCATCGATCGACATCGATATTTGTTTGGCATTCGAAAACCTTGGAAGTGAAATTCTCACGACAGAGTTCCATCATGTCTCTGGGCAATCCCAAACCCCAGAAGCCACCAATGTATGTTGGGCCGCCCAGAAGTTTCATGTGTGTTGGGCCGCCTAGATTCTGAACTATGATTATGTAAAGATCATCTTCCTGAATTCTTGGGATGGCAAAATGAAAAAAATAATGTTGATTTGTCTTCACATGGAGTCCCAAAAGGTGTCTCATGGTTTGTCTCCAAAAGAAAATTGCCATTTAGTGGATGATATCGCCGTCAAAAGAGACAAACTCAGTACCGCCGACAAAGCATTGAGACATATCACCTTCGCGCTGGTGTAGTCGTTTGCCTTAAGATGGTCCTGCGCTGAAGCCATTGAAAAACATCAGCTGAAGCGACAAATTCAACAGACTCAGTCGGACATTTTACAAAACTGCTTGAGATCTCGAAGTATTTAGCCCATCCGTTGAACCCTCAAGATCCAGCGTTTTCCATCGAGTTTTGTACAATATTTCTGGTGCGGAAATGATTAGCAAAAGACCTGCGATATCCAAGGGGTTTCCCCATGTGGTAAAGTGGTGAACCATGGTAAACCCAGAAATGTTGCCACAGGTTCCTAACCATCCCGATTTGGAGTAGATTAATGGGTTTAGCCCATGGCCAATGGATGGTTTACCAACCTTTGCCCGTTTCGGAGCACCGAGATCAGAACGGGTTCCTTGATGAGTTTCACATCTTTGTTGATATCAGCGTGCTCTGTGACATCATTCACTGGGCAATAAAGCCTCGAGAATCTCTGGTGCAAGAGACGCAACTCTTTACTGAATAACCCCAAAAACAAATGCCAAACCACAACTACTTATAAACTATAAACACTGTATTTTTTTCCACCTTTCATGGGGGTTGCTACAAATTGTTGATATCTTCTGAGGCCGCAACCTTGCAACCACAACCAACATGAAATAAGATGAAATAAGACATGTTGGGTGGATGTGGGGGTATACCCAATCTTCATACATTTTTTTGTATGTTGATGTCAGTCAATTTTCTGACAAGATTCCGAATAAATCGGAACAATAAGTCAAACATTGGGTATAGAATCAAAACAAAATGTAACGAGGACGCATGAAATCATAAAGTGTGAAAGGACGGGTTCGCTATTCCCCAAAAATGCATTCAATGGGGATGTCAAGGCCAACAACAAAGTACATTGACGGTGCCAACATTTGGTTTGAGATAGTATGGTCTCAAATGACTGTAGAATCGACAGGACATTGGTATTCCTAAAAAAGGGTGATGAATAATTTTATTGACCAATGGATGTTATCCCGCACCGGGTGGATGATTTTTGAATGGCCCTTTGTCAATCACTGAATCACTCAGCTGTTCAAACTACTCGATGGAATGACGCAAGTGTCATCATAGGGTTGGCGTTGGTTTGTTCAAAAGCATCACCTTTTGGTTGGAACAACCACGACTTGACAACCAAAAAATGGCAGTTGAATTTCCAAAACGGTGAAATACGTTGGTGTCATTTCCCCAAGTTCGAATTCCTCCCTCATCTAATTCTGGTCTCTTGCAGCCTTGGAACCCATTTCGGACACGAGTCCACCGGCGTGCACGCCCCACCGAAGGCTGAAGCGAAGCAAGTCGCCACGAGCACGATTCGTAGAGATGGCATGGCAACCACAACTACCTCTGTGCAAGTCAAGCTGAAGCGCAGACTGCAATGCAAATCGGTCAAAAAAATGTTGCATTCAAGGAAATTGGGTTCAACGGTTCAAATTGGATTGCCTGTTCAAACGTGAATGTCATTTTGTTTTCATGTTTGCAAAACAAATGTTTTGCGTTTAGTTTTTGGGGGGGACCATACTCAATGGTCGCAAACATGTTGTGTTCACCCAGTTGGCCATTTTGAAATCACGTTTTCCTGTCCAACATAAACACGTATTTTTTCATGCGCGTTTTGGACGAAAATCAAAAACCACGCGAAACAATATTGCCCAAACAACTGAGTTCTCCAATCAATTTCGGTTGAAAGTACCGGTCTGTGGCTGCATATTTCGCATGCGCGGGCTCGCGGCACAAAAAAAAATGTTTGCGGCTCAGGGGTCTGAAACTCGCACCGTTTTTTTTGGCGCATCCTGACAAATTTTGAAGATATGCACGTTTGGTGTGACAGGTCCAAGCGACATGCATGCTGCCCCAAAATCACGTCTCTAGTGTTGGTTTGAGGTTTGCAAATCACCCCGACTTTTACAAAATTGCGTGGTTTGGGTCGTAGTGTTGGACTTCGAAATTGCCAAAACGTACGATGGTTGGGTTTTTTCTTCTTACAGGTGGACATCGATTCGCATGACGCCCTGATTCGGAACCATTTTTCCTGGTGTACCTTTCGAAACCCGGAAACCATATTGGAACAGTGATGTCACTTGCAAGTGCAGCTGCTGATCATTTCACTTCTTTTGGCACCTGGGGCGTCGCCAAATCATCCATCGTACGGTGTGGTTAGGTTGATGTGAGACGGGTGGTTTGTGGGTGGGTCTTTTGACCACATCAACTTGTCATTTTTGTGACTTCCCACCTCACGCCACGTTTGAAGAAGAAAAACTGCACACGACTAAGATTAGCCTTTGCTGTGCCAACACCATTCGATCTTCTTCGAAAAGCTTCATCGCGATGTCACTTGCAAGTTACAGTTGCTGATCATTTCGTTTTTTTTGAAACCTGGGGCGTCGCCAAATGATCCACCTCCCCCTTTTTTTTCATTTGCTTTGCCCCATCCACTTCAGCGATAAAGCGTTGGATGTGGTCAGTAGCTTTGTTCGAGTCACCTGAGGCATCTTCCAGAAAAGGGTGCAGCTGAAAACGTGAGGGAATATCTGCTATGCTTGCTTCTGTAGGCACTCTTGCAAACCATGCGTTTGTATTGTTAGCAACTTCTATCTGCATGTTCATCACTTTTCCAGCTACTAGTCCAAGTCCCACACCACGTACGAGAGCATTCCTCACACTGTCGTTGTCCGTGTAAAGCGCTTGATATGAAGCTTTGAAGTATTCATTCCAAACATCCAAAGCCAGACAAGCCGCCAGAAGCTCAAATTCATAAATTATAGTCTCTTTGTCATTTACACCAAATACGCCACACATATCACAGTCCAGCTTCAATGAAAGCCAAGCCCTGCAACGGCTTTCTGCATCCACAAGCACTGCGCCAAGGCCTCCACTTTTGGTCTCTTGCAGTTACAAGCGCTACAGTCAAATGCAACTCACACCAACTTCCGTGAAATCAGGCACAAACAAGACACACTCAAGTTTTTTTCCCTCAGGTTTGGCCGTCGATGCGCTGTGGCACGGTCCTTTCCCGTAAGAAATATGTACGTGCAAAAGCCACTCGGGCAAAAGCATCCTTTTGATGCCCTCACCATCAGCATCCCTCCAATGCTGTACAAAAGTAACCTAAGTTTATTTACTTTTCAAGGAAACCGGCAATTTACATCTACTTACTTGTCTTCATTTTTTTGCATGGGCCCTACCCGCGCAACTAGATCGTGAAAGAGAACAGCGTCGGCGTATATAAGACGCGCGCGACTACGCTCGTATTCGCAACGCCAGCAACCATGTAAAACATCGATGGACATGTCACGATTGGAGAAAATCAAAAACAAATAGATTCAACTCGAATGAAGCAGCCTCTCTCTTTTTTCATTCTTTGCAAGATGGGAAACGATCCAGGATCCCGTTCTCGAAAAACGGGAGGGTTAGGCTTGACCTCACAACCCTCGTAAACGTCCGTTGACGAGGAGAAACCTTTACCCAAAAATGAAAAAGGGGGGAAAAACTTGGTTTGGGCGGGTACATCTCACACTCATAAGTGCAAGCTCGGATACCCACACCTCCCACCCTACTTTGAGGCGAGCGCGGTAATCAAATTTTACTGCACTCAAACGGACAGGAATGGTTTAACTGCCAGGTTTGTTTTACAAACATACTCAGAAAAACATTCCCATAAAAAAGGTCATCAGGGAATTTGCACCTTGTACCTGTAAACATCCACAGTGGAAGCTTCACGTTTTTCAAAGTTTGAAAAAAGGTACAACAAATTCACATTGTTTGAGTTGAAAAGTTTAGTTCAACAACTTCCAAGCTATTGTCATGGAAACTGCTTAATTTTGTCCAAGAAAATTTTTTCCTTTAACGCAAATACAGGAAGCATCATTGCTTTGCAATGAGTGAACCCTTATTTACTTGTCAAGGAAACCGGCAGTTTACATCTACTTGCTTGTGTTCATTTTTTCGCGTGGGCCCTACCCGCGCAACTAGATCGTGAAAGAGAACAGCGTCGGCGTATATAAGACGCGCGCGACTACGCTCGTATTCGCAACGGCAGCAACCATGTAAAACATCGATGGACATGTCACGATTGGAGAAAATCAGAAACAAATAGATTCAACTCGAATGAAGCAGCCTCTCTCTTTTTTCATTCTTTGCAAGATGGGAAACGATCCAGGATCCCGTTCTCGAAACCCCAAGTCTCCGATCCATCTTTCCTCATCTTGTCAAGCAAAGAGGTCCGTTCGATCTTTCGGCGTCTGACATGTCTTTTCTCCATCTCGCTCAAGTCTAGGCGACTTGGTCCATCTGCTATGTTGCTGCTGGTCGGAACTCGAGCGAACCAGACTTTCACCTGGCACTTCATCTCTGTCCAAACAAAGGCCATTACTAAACGGGCTCAACTGTCCTGACTGGACGAGCCACCTATCAACGAACCTCTGGCCGCTTCGTTGTCTAAATAGAAAACGCACTGAGAGTTCTCCAAGTGTCCTTCCCACTCAACAAGCGAGATCCACACTGGAAGCAGCTCAAGTTCGTATATCGGGTGGTTTGAAGATTGAAGGAAATGGTCCATCCAGGCAACTGGAACTTTCTCTGAAAGAAATTCGACAGGAACCCCACAAGGGCTAACAAGTACTGCACCTATCGACCCAAGCTTTTCCAAGTCTCCCTCGCATGCCCCGTCAGAAAAAATGAACCAAGTTTTCAGGCTAGCCTCATGTATTTTTGTGGGTGGCGCACAAACAACTCTGCACCTAAGAAAGTGAATGGTTTCCAACTCTGAACGAGAAAGCTTTTCAATTTGTCGGCCAACCGAAGCCAGTTTACTCAAGTTGCGAAGAGCTTGTTGCGCCACTCTCCCACTAGCAAAAGTTTCAAACCACTGCAATCTGCCCCTCAGCCGTTCAGCGTCCTTCATAGACATCCTTTCGGCTGTCTCAATGACTTCCAAAGCTTTGCAAAGTTCTTCCACCCTAGACTCCGTGTGTCCAATCGTGATCTCTGCAGAGCTGCTCCCTTTGGAGGCCAGGTTCAAGACAACTCCTAGCGCTGAGACTTTTGTGCTCCATTCAACTGCCTTTTTCCCTTCCTTTGCATAGTCAACACCCAACAGACCAAAGAGGCTCTCTGCTGAAACTGCTGCGCTCTTTGCACATGCTGTCTTGGAGAGAAGCGTATAGTCATCGAAAAAGGCTGTCTAGCACAAACGTAGTCCCCTAACCCCTATGTACCATATGGCCATAGAGATTCGCAGGAAAGAGTTTAGTGACCCCACCGCCCCAAAAGGTAGGGCATTGAGTCCAAGGAATTGCACTTTTCCCAAATCGGGATTCCACACGGCTATGCGCAATAGTGACCGGTCTGTTTTGTCTATCCCATACTGTTTATAGGCATTGCGCAGATCGTAGGTTTTGCCTACCACTTGCTCCATTGACTCTTTTCCAAGCGTTGTCAAACACCAAGCAATGTAGGCAGCCATCTCGTCGATAGCATGGATCCGAAGTTTCTCACTGGAGCCGCAAGTGCTGTTGAAGCCCCCAATCGAGCAGTCGTCTATCAGTCTAGTCTTGTTCCCCTGTCTGAGGCCAAAACGTTTTGCAAGCACATGGTCATCAGTTTTGCAACTCTCGTCAATCCAAGCCCAACCCTTCTCAAGTTCGTCCTGTGTTAGTGCCCACACCTCATCTGCCAACTCTTTGTCACTCACCGCCTCAACTTGACGGCAAATGTTTTTGTTCAAACCTTTTGCCATCTTTCTTACAGATTCCATCGAGTGCGAAGGACGCTTCAAAGCAGAAGGAAAAACATTTGACTTTGGTAACCAGCCTGAAAGTTTGAAACCGGCACAGATCTCGTCAACCAGGGTTTTGTCGGGGTATTGTAAATCCAAAAGAATCTCCTTAAAGAGCAAGAGCCTTTTCCCCACCAGCACATCTCGCAAGTGGTCGCCTAAACCATCATGAAGTTTTTGCTCTTCAGATTCAAGTTCTCTGCAACGCGCAGTCCATCGATTCAAGAAAAGCGCACGTTCCTTGATAACTTTGTAAGGCTCTTCAGAAAAGTTCTCCTGAAAGCGGATCCAAGACTGGCATGTACCTACGGAGTTCATGCGAAACTGAAACAGTGTCATGCACATTCAAAAACGTTGAGGTTGCAGTTCTGTTTAAAACAACTCTGCTGTTGACATCGGAAATCAACCCTTGGGAAAAGTCTGCAGCATCACCTGTGGAACCTTCACCTTGCAAACCCAAAAACCATGGTTCATCCAGATTTGGAGGTGTCGTGCAACTGGATTCTTGTTGAAGAAGTCCACAGAGGAATCCTGAGTCCTCAGTTCCTGCACCACAACCAAACCAGCCAAAGTTGAGATCCCACAAACAGTGGCGTTCGTCACTGTCTTCATCACTACTGCTGACATCGATTTCATCCCCCAAAATTCCCAGGCTGATCAAAAACAACTGAACATGCATCTGTTTCAGGAAAATGAAGTTCTGGATCATCAAAAAACTCTGCAGGCAAAACTTCTGAAAACGGTGGCAAACTCTCAAAAAGATGTGTCATCTTCTGCAACATTTGCTGGTGTCTGTCCATCGCTCTTCCTAATTGCCAATCCTGAAACTCACAGTTGTCACATTGGCACATTGGTGGCCCTAAATCAAAAGGACATGACAAACCACTTGCAGAAGCCACGCAAACACTGTCTCCCCACGAGCTATGACTGTTGCTGCTTCCAAGCTCATCCATTGCCGCTTGCAAAAACAAACCAGTGGAAACTTCCCCAAAAATTCTTCCAATTAAGGGGCTCAAAACCAATGACTGAATTTCACTGTTCTCGGGTCGCTGACTACTGCTTGCATATTCTTGCTGGGATTCTTGACCAGTCCAGGTCCAATCCTCCGTCCATTGTCCGTCAGTCCAGTCAGCTGTCCAACCCTCATTCCAGTCACTCCAGGTTTCATTCCACACTTGAGCTGCTTGCAGCCATGTCTGGTCACTCCACCATGACCCATCATCTTGATACCATTCGTCCATTCCATCGGTTTCCTCTGCATAACCGAGTTCATTCATTTTTCCTTTCTTTCCAAAACCTTTACCTTTTGCCTTGCCTTTGCTCTTTCCTTTTGTCTTTCCTTTGCCTTTGATCACTCCTTTCCCGTCGCCCTTGCCCTTTCCACTCTTATCCGGGCAGTTGGCCGAGATGTGACCAAATTTCTGGCACTTGAAACATCTTACTTTTGTCAAATCAGCATCACACATGCTTGCGCCATGCTTTCTACTCCCGCATTTCGTGCATATGCCCTGAGTTTCCTACTGCATCCAAATTCCACTCCCCATTACCATCGCTAGTTGTCGTGTCACAGTACTCCGCTGCACTCTCAGACTCATTCCCTAGCTGGTACAACTGTTTCTTGGGTTGGAATTCTGCAAAAGCCCTTTGTTGCTGTTCCCATCTCAACGCTGCAGCTCTAAAACTTTGGTACGTCTCCCCACTGGTATGATGCAGACAAAACGTTCTGACACTTTCAGGCAGTGACCTCAACAACACTGCAACTAAGTCTGCCTCTGCAACTTGCAGCCCAGTGGCATCAATTGAACTTGCAAGAGTACCCAAGAGCTTGCCATAGCGTGCATTCTCATAGTCGATCTTCCGGATGGTGTCCGTCACAACAGTGCTTGGGCTTGTCTCACTGGCATGCAAACTGAAACTCTTATGCGCAAGGGCCGTGCGAAAACTCAATGCTTCACTGCGGGTTCTCAAACTGTATTCCATGGTGAGTTGTCTTATCAATTCAAACCCATTTGAACTCTGCAAACCAGGGTTTACTCCAACATCTGAACTCAACAGGCTGACCCCTTCTGAGTAGGCATTCATTAGAGTTACTGTCCTGGGGTGTGCATTGAATGCACTCTTGAGGATCGCCATCAGTCGCCGGCTCCTCGCTCTCTGTGCATTGTTGAGGCCATTCCAACCCAGAGGACTCGGCCAACGGCATGCTTGTTCTATCTCGGCTCCAAATTCCAAAGACGCCTGCATGGCCCATGCAGTGAGGTCGCTGGCATATGTCTGCCATCCAAGTATCTCCAGTTCTCTCGACGACCACTTGCCAGTATCTGGCACTGATGGGCTTCCAAGCCACTTCTCCGATTGAGAAAACATCCAACGAATATTCCCGACCACTTCCAGGCACATGCATCGGGTCCATCCCATACGGAAACATGCCATCACCCCTTTGACCAAACAGTTCAGGTACTCTAGAGGCCCTTCGCTGCAAGACCAGACTTGGTGCCAGATTTTGGGCCCAAAACCGGGTCCTGTTGCAGAGTTCAAAAATTGGGACTTGCGTGTCTCGGTTTGTGTGTGTGTGTTTTTTTTTCCCACGCTCCTTTTTGCTGTTGCATTCAGGTTTGTGCCAGCCAGCAGTGTCATGGCGACACTGGTTCCAAATCGGAATCTTTTCCGGCATCCTGCTTCATCCAGTCTTTGGAGAAATTGTTGCTGCGTTGCAGCTGGAAAAAATTCAAAAAGCCTGACGTCAAATGGTGGGCATCGTGATGTCTTTCAGCGGCTGTCTCGACACATGAGTGAGGAGATGAATGCAATCTGTGCGTATCAGCCAGAAGATATTGGCCGTGCGTGTCATCCACTGCGGGGCAATCCATGCTGGTGCAGGTGGCGTCCAATCATCTGTCAAAAGCCATTCTGCCGGTGTGATTGCATCAGTCAGCGTTGGCGAAGTGCGCAATGCAGCTCGGTAGTGACCTGAGCCATCTTGGCCTAAGTGGCTCATAAGAGCAACAATCTGATACTCTGCTGGATCATAGGTGAGACCTTGGTCTCGAAAGATGGGCATCAGGCACATGGAGTCCAAGTTGATCTTGCATTCACTCTTGATGACTTGTCCTGTGTTGTTCTGTATGCATCTTTCAACATGTACGCAAAGGCATGGAGGAGCCTCAACCAGGGCCGTGAGCATACCGTCAGCCTGGCGCCAAATGGAAATGAGCTGATTCATGTCACATCGCATTGCACTGGCAAGTTTGGTATCAAAACTCAATCGCAAAGGTGTAAAACTGTGACCCTGATCAGCAAGCACAACACGTCCATTTTGCTCATAGCGTTGTTCCCAGCGCATGTTGAAAGTATTTCCCCGCAACTGGTCAAGCCACACTTGGATGAACTCCGCAGCATCTTGCTGCGCAAGGTGTGCAGGATCTGGATGATCCATGATTCCCCAGCAACGCAAAATGTCATCAAACCAAGCTTCATCACCTAAATTGGCAGGCCTATCATGATGTGTCAGAATGAAATCAATGAGCATTTGGCGTTGCTCACCCCAGGCTGACAAATCACATGGCGTCATGGTCAAAGTGACCCATAGGTATGAGTAAACTGCTGCATTTGCAAAACAGAGATTGCCTGGGTTCAGCATGACAATGTGTGCCAACTGCTGCAGCAAGTCTCGTGGATCAGGTTGCCGCTGGTTCATGGTGGGCATCACTCCTGTTTGGGTGCCACTTTGTGTTTGCCTTTGCCTTTGCCCTTGCCTTTGGGCGGTTTGTGCATGCCAAGTGCCTGCTGGAGGTTCATTGCCAGAGGGCTCTGCTTCTGTCCATGGGGTTTCAGTGCTGTCCCCATGAGGTGCCACACTGCCGAGTTGGACATCGTTTGCAAAATTTGCCATGGTGTGTCGGCTCTCAGGCTGATCTGAAGTTTCCAGGCCGTGACCTCCTTGTTGGTCGAGGGCAGGGCATGGAAGGCACTCACCAGGTTCACGTCGGCCAGGTGTTCGATCATGTCGGTGCACAGTTGATGAAGATGTTTCAAGGTCAACGGTCGGCGCTGGCTGATCTTCAACTGCTTCTGTGCTGCATCCCATTCCAGGTATGGGCATTGGCCATCGGGGAGCAAGATCTGGTTCCGAATGGCGGTTTCCTGAATCTCCGATCCCCTCTCCGATTCCCCCAGCTGGGTGAGTCGTGTCAGGAGAGTGTTGAAGAGGATCTGCATGAGATGTTGCCTCAAAGGTTGCACCGGTTGTGCAGGTTGAGGCGCTTGGAAGTTCTCCGCCCAGGTCTTGGTGGCCTCCAGCAGGGTCTGCAGACTGCTGTTTGGCCCTTTGTGCCCGAAAAAGTAGATGAAGGTGTCCTCCCGCTTCAACTGCTGAAGGTCCCGATCCAGTCTCAAGGCCAGCTTTGCCATCAGCGTCATGGCTTGGGCCAGGTCCACCTTTCCGTTGCCCTGTGTGGGCTTGGCGTGCCCGGGTGGCTGAGGTGTTGAATCGCCTTTTCTTTGGCGCTTTGGTGCTGCATTGGGTTCCAAGATCAGCGTCTTGTCGGTCATGAGTGGGGCTATGGCCTGAAAAGCTGTCCACACTTGTTGGCTCACTTCCTCGGCTTCGGGCATGTCCATGTCTGCCATGGGCGGCCTTGCTCAAGATGATGGCACCCTGTAGCACGCAAGGGCACTGGGCACGAAAATGTGCTTGAGCAGTTGCAGTGCGGGATGCATCATTGGGGTCCAAGGCAGAGTTGCGCGGGCAGTTGTAAACCTGCTGGCATGCATAACACTCCCCATCATCAGTGGCATGTGCAAGAAACTTGAGTGCCAGCTGTGTCTTGATGAAGTGCACAATTGGTTGTCCACACTGATGGGCCTCATAGAGGTGTGGAATCAGGTCAGCAGGATGCATTGGTTGTCCACATAGAACGCAGGTCTCCCTCAGGATGGTCAAAACCGGGTCAGCAGTCCAGAAGTTTGAGATGGCTCTGTCAGTGATGGTCTTTTCCAACGTAAACCGCTGTTGTCTGGTCAAATTCAAGGAGAAAATGGCAGTCAATTCCTCATCAGAAGGTTGATGTGGAAACAGGATCTGTCCTTCCATCCTTAAATGTTGCATTGCAAGCTGGCGTATGGGCAAACAAACGTGACTGTTGCGACCAGATCCTACGCCAGGGTTGCATAAGCAACCTGCTTGATCATACAGGAGTGATACCATCACCTGCGTGAGCTCTTGGGATGCAGACCATAACTGTGGATGAGCCGATTGGAGGTGGCCTGCCAGGGATGAGGATCTCTGGTATCGACTGCTGCAGTTTTGGCACCGCAGGGTGAGCTGCAATCGAACATGTGCATCGCGCAAAACATTGGCAAATTGGCCTCGACACATGGCGTCAACCCACTGCGGAAGGACATCCACGACCTCTGTCGGCAGATCAGGGTTGAATCGTGGACACCTGCTTTGGTTTATGTGTGAACGCAATGATTCCAAGCTGTCATACATTGTTTGGCAGTGTGCACACACTGGCTCACCGGCTAGTGAGTCTCTGGCCACGTTGTAGCTGGTGCTCTTCAGGCGGTGTGTCATGGTGAGATGTGCATGCAGGTCCTCATTGGTGGCAAAAGTGTCCATACAGATTTCACAGCGCAGTGTCACTGGCACAGGTTGAGGCTCCGTGGTGACACCGCCGCCGTATATGAGTAGCATTGCCAATTGTAGCCACACCGTGCATTGGTGATTGGCATTGAACAAGGCCCCGCAATATGGACAAGGTGGGTCCTCACCATGCAGGTGCGTGAGCTGTGTGCCCTTTGTCTGAACATGCGGCCAAAACTCTGGGTGATGCAACTTGTAATGTCTGTGTAATTCCTGCGTTCTGCCCAAGAACTGATCGCACAAACAACACCTATTGGCAAGGTACATGCAAGCATCTGTCTCCTTCTTCATGTGGTGCCAGTTTTTGGACCCCACAATGGTCAAAATGCGTGGGCCCCACTCCTGACTGGTGATGTTCTGCAGGTCTGTGGAGGACAATTGGATCTGTCCACGCACAGGTGCATCCTGTTTGGGTGCAAACATGGTCGGCCTGTGCAGTCGGTCTGCTGCAAGTGGCCACGTCAGGTCAAGCCAGCAGGCTGTAGGGCCAGCTTGAAGTACCTGGCAACCACGTTGCGCATGTATGGTGAAGGAACGCCAGGTGGTGAATTTCTGATGGCAGAATCGGCATTGTGGTAAACCATGTTTCATGTGCTGGGCCAGGTTGACATGCAGTGTACGTGTCATGCGGTGTCCATGGACCACAGTGCAGTGTCTACGAAACATAGCCGTGTCATGGGTTTGAAAATCACACAACTGACATGTGTATTGGGGGCTCAACAAGGGCACGTCAAGGGCTGGCGGCTGAATCACGATGTCTGGGCCCCTGCAATGATGGTTGTGCAAAAGTTCAATGATGTCAGCAAGGTGTGTCCATTCAACTTGGTGGACAATGTCATGTGGTCCAGCACGGAGAGTCCGACGTTCAACAGACCTCTGCAAGGTTTCAGCAGAGCGCCACAACCATTCAGTGGGGAGCGCAACACGGTTCACTGACAGTGCATATGTGTGGCTGTGTCCAGTGATGTAGGCATGATTGCATAGGATCTGTCTAAGCTGGCAATATAGCAATTGTTGGATGTGCTGCAAGCCTACTGTGGTGATGCCTATGGAAAAAATGCCATAAGTCAAGACTGGATATACACAAGTGGTGAATAGCTGCAGTCTTTGCTTCTGTTGCAACCCTCGTCTCCCTGTCAGCCATCGCTTGAGGCGTCCAAATGCAATGCGTGCCAATTGGGCTCTGTGTCTGATGGTGGCATCTTCAAAATTCCTATATGAAATGATCGTGCCAAGATATTTGGCCGTGGGTTCAATAGGAATCCACATTGGATCTGCAGTTGTACCAAGGCAGAGCCACTCTTTCCCATCGCGCCAGGCAGTGAGTGACGCACGGAGCTTGCGGTGGTTTGTTCCACCCATGGTCAGCAAGGCTGTGCATTTGGTTGGATTGATGGTCAGTCCAAACTTCTTCAAAAGCAAAAGAGTCTTGTTGATGTTGTCAAGAAGCAGTTGCAGTTCTTGGGAAGATCTGTAAAGGTCGCCCATGTGACAATCGTCAGCGTAAATATTCAGGCACTGCAGTACCCAGGTTAAATTTACCTCTTTGCTCAACTCAACCAGGAAAAGCCACATGTACCCATTCCAGAGAAGAGGTGCCGCACGGCACCCTTGGCGCACGCCCTTGCCTACAGGGATTGTAGATTCTTCTCCATTGCAAAACAGGGAGTAGTGGGTTTCCTGATGCCACAAGGCTAAAAGTTGGATGATGTGAGGATTAATCTCAAGGTGATGCAGTCTGCTGAAAAGATGTTCTCTGCTGAGCATGTCGAATGCACGTTCAATGTCCAAGAAAATCTGCAAGGCACCTGCTATCTTGAACCTGGGTAATCCCTGCTGGCGAGTGAAAGGATTGGTTCTGAGGCTTTGCATCAACTGGCGTGCAGCATGGCAATGTCTAGCTACTCTCAGGAGCGCATCTTGTGTGGAACGCCCGGGCAGATACGCCCACAAAGGCATTCTGGTCAGCTGTGGCAGGGCATCTCTTTGGGCAGCTCTGGTTAAGAGGCCTACAACAGCCTTACTGATGGGTTCTTGGAGTGCTAACGGCCTCAAGGCCCTGGGATTAGTGGGGGGTTTATTTGGTTTAGGGATGAGGATCATCCAGCTATTTCGAAACCACTGGGGTAAGAAAGGGCATGGACGTTCCCACCATTCTTGAAGTTTGGCATGGATTGCAGGTGCAATCAGATACGCCAGGGATTTCCACACTGCCCCAGGGGCGCACGGTCGTGCTACTGCCTTTACAGCAGGAATTCGGCTCAGTTCCTGTGCAAGGTCCTCGGCAGTGAAAGGCATACCTGAAAACTCAATGGATGTGGTGGGAAAGGTGGTTGGGCCATTCCATGTGTCCATGATGAATCGTCTGAGTTGTGATGCCTCTTCTACAGGTGAGGAGATTTGGCCTTTGGCATTTCGCAATTGGATTCTGCGTTTTGATTGTTTGGGTGAATATTTGTTGATAATGGAAAACAGAGCATGCGTGTCAAAGCGTTGGGCAGCAGTTTGAGCGCTGTCAATGACTTCCTGAAAACGTGTCTGGCGCACAGTTCTGGCTAAAAGCTTGGATTGGCGATTCAGCGTCTGAAACCTGGTCAAGTGATACCATGCTTGAAACAAGTTCCCCAAACACGTCTGGCGCAAGTTCAGCATCTGTCTCCTGTGGTACCATTTGGACATGACATGATGTGTGGTATGCTCATCAATGTCTGGTTTTGGTTTGGAGATGGATGGAAAAAATTGGTGAAAGCATCTGACAGCAGTTGCATGTAGTGAAGGTATGAACTGTTCATCTGAGATCCAGGCATCTTGCATGATGGGCTGTAGGGCTTCTGCTGTGGTCTGCAGGAAAGCTTGCCACTGCGCCGTGTTGGTCCTGAACTCATGGTGTCCCTGTCGGCGTTGCGCAGGTGTGATGCCTGTCACTTGAGCCTTGGGCATGTACCACTGTTTTCGCAAATTGACCAGAATGGGGGCATGTCCTTGTTTGGCGTCAGTGCAAAAAGGAGCATCCCATGCATAAACAGCATCTTTGGCACTGCCATCTGCAACTTGTTTGCGTGTGATTACAAAATCAATTCTGGAATGATGATCTTGTTGCACAAACGTCGGCCCTAGTGAAGGGGTCCAAGAATTCAGGGCTGTCAGTCCATGCATACGCAAAAGGGCTGTGAAGTGGCCTGCATCTTGGTGTGGCGCCCCATTGGTCATGTGACCTTGCCATCTGTAGCAACTGGGGCCACTGTGGGAGGCAGCAGTCAACAGGTTGCAATTATAATCTCCAGTGAGAAGCAAAATATTCCTGGCAGCTAACTCATGGAGCAGTGAATCCAATTGATGCCACCACTTTGCACGTTCATGGAGACGTGCAGTGGTGGATGCCTGGGTGCGTTGGTAACACCCAACAAGATCAATGTTGCGTCGATCTTGTCTGACTTGGATATGCACTAAGCGTCCAGGGACAGCAACCTTCCAGCGTATGTCTTCTTGGCGACAAAAGCGCTGTGACAAAATGCAAAGTATGCCAGCTCCTTTATGATTTGGGTCCCCTGAGTGCACATAGTGAAAATGACCATCACTCCACTCATGTTCATAGGACCATCTGGTCTCAACAATCATTGCTGCTTCAATTTGTTGGTTCAACATCCATACCTTGATGGCGTCTAGCCGCTGGATGGAAAGTCCTCCTGCGTTCCATTGCATAAGGCTAAAACGTCTGGCAGGCTTGTGGCGTCGATTGCATTGCATGCTTTGGGGTGATGGTCCAGGAGACGCAGGCTTGGGAATCGGTTGATGTGCATCTCGAAGGGCTTGGGGAAAGTCATTGGGCACAAGACATTTCCCTCGATACCAGGCAATTCCATGTTGAAGAGATCTGGCATAAGCTCTTCGAATGCTGCGTTTAACAACTTTGGTCTGGGCAGGATGCCAGGCAAGTGCTGCAGCACTGGTTACTGGCCGCGTGTCATGTTGCTTTGTGTCACTTGTTATCATCTGATCTAAGGTCCTTGGATGTGACACTTCAGCACCTGCCATGACACAGGTGCAACCCTCACCCCTAGTCAGCCCTATGAAGGATGAAAGTCCCAGCAGGAACACACAAATGATGTGAAAAATTCTGCTGTTGTATTTCCAAAAAAAGGGCCGACCCCTGGACTTGGGACCAGGTGTGCCACTTCGAGTCTCAATGGAAGGGAGCACGCTCAAGCAGTGAAAAACTCTGTGTTGTAATCTCAGAAACCTGCAGTGCTTATGGGTGGTTGAAAGCAAAATGGACCACCCTGTGCACAAGAGCCAAATAAAGATCGCAAGGAGACCAATGGCCAAATTGCAAAAAGTCGTTGTCTGCCGTCTGTGAATTGTATTGTGAAATTGCAAAAAAATGAAAATTGCAGTCAAAATCAGCTTGTGCCAATGAGTGCACCACCGTGTCTGTACGTCCCAGTTCAGTCGAGCAAAGGGTCGACTCAGACCCAAAAGAAGGTCGCCAGGTAGACAGGACCACTGTGAGTGAAGGTCAATGGGCAGCAAGTGTTTATCTATGGAAAAAGCAATTCGTTGAGAATCCAGTTCACAATCTGTCACACTTCGAGGGCCAGAATAAGGTGGGGAGCCCACCCCGCCTGTGTCTGCTTCACGGCAATGGCAATTGAAATGCAATGTCGCACAGTCCAAATACTCAGGTGGAAGGTTGCCACCACCAGTTAGGCCAGGGAAAATCAGGGAGCCTACCCCTTGTAGAAAATTATGCAAAAAAGGCAGGCCAGAAAATGAAAAAAGGGAGCCAACCCCTATAGTCTAATATTGCAAATTGTCACTTGTTGATTGCGCAGGTGGAAGGTTGCCACCACCAGTTGGGTCAGTGAAAATGGAAAGGGAACCCACCCCTGTCAAAATCGGGAAATACACAAACTGTGAAAAATTGTCACCACCAGGGTCAGTGAAAATGCGAAGGGAACCCACCCCTGTCCAATATTGTGCAATGGGTGGAAGGTTGCCACCACCAGTTGGGCCAGTGCAATGTTGAGGGGAGCCCACCCCAGGCAAGTCAAAATCCTGTTGTAAGTCAAATGAGGCGATCCACCAAAAAGTTGTAAAAACAGATTGTTTGAATATTGGCACCGCTTGTGACAAACCTGTGGTGGAACAGTCAGTATGGGTGTCCAGCCCAAGATCTGCTGCAATGAAGGTCCACTGGCCAGTCAGTTGCCGGGGGCCAACTCCGCAGGGTGTGGAACCTTCTGTGGTCGTCCAAGGCTGTGAGGTGTTCCAGCGATGGCACCTACAAATCAAATACAGGTAAAAAATTCGAGAGAGCAGAAATCCAGCCGTGATGGAAATGCACGCTGACAGAAGGTCAGCGCCTGATGTTCAAATCTCAAAGAAAATAAACCTGTGGAATGCAGAAAACGGCAGCGGCAACGACACAATGGCTCAAAATGGCAGCACAGCAAGAATCGAAGAAAAACGCCCCAGGGTCACTGCTAATCCTCCGTGGAGTGAACTTGAGCGCCACTCTCGTGGTGGCAGAGGGGCTTGTGTGTGTGTGTGTTGTGTTGTGTGTTGTGTGTGTTGTGTTGTGTGTTGTGTGTGTTGTGTTGTGTGTTGTGTGTGTTGTGTTGTGTGTTGT